GGGCGCGGGGGGACCCCAGCCCCGGGCGGGCGGGGGGGCGCCGGCCCGCCCCGCTCACGGGTTAGTAGCGTGTTTTCCCTGATAAAACTCCTCCCACCGGCTCTCGAAAAACTTGCGCATGGCGTGCCCGGCCTTGCCCACGTCCGAGTCGTCCTCGTTGAAGGTCTGGCAGTTGTCGAACACCAGCATGGCGTCGGCCGCAAACTCCTCTGAGGTCGAGTACCTGCGGGCAGGAGGGCGGTCGGTGGTGGCCGGGGACCCCGCCGGCCCCTGAGGGACCCCCAGCCCCAGGAGGGACCCCCACTCACCCGCCCCGCAGCAGCCGCGTGCGCATGGTGGCAAAGTCCATGGGGTTCTTGATGATCTTGCGGTAGCCGGGGACCAGGCGGGGGTTGACGGGCTCCAGGAAGGGCCAGGCGTCCTCGTGCGACTCCATCTCCATCAGGATGATCCTGGGGGGGCAGGGTCAGGGGGAGCCCCCGGGGATGCGGCCCCGGCCGCCCTGTGCCCCCCCCGCCCCTGCGGCCTCTGCGCCACCGGCCCAAAAAAAACAGGTGGGGGGCCCGGGGCAGCCCCTCGCGGCGGCGCAAGGCCGGCCGGCGCCGCGGGCTCTCCTCCTCCTCCGCGAGGCTCCCCCCGAAGAGACGCCCCCGTTTCCGCTTCTTGCCTCGCCGGGGTGAGACGGGGTCCCGGTACTCCCCCGCCTGCAGGGAGGGGATGGGGGTCACCGCCGGAGCCCAGGCTCAGCACTGGCCCCGGTGGGTGAGGGGCTGCCCCACGACCTACCTGGGAGACGCAGACGGAGCAGAACCAGTCACCCTCTGGCACCTCCGTCATCTTGGGCCGGTGGCAGTAGAGGTGGCAGCCACGGTCGCAGCCGTCGCACAGCAGCAGGTGCTCGTCGTCGTCCCCGCGCCGGCACACCAGGCAGGTCTGCGGGGATGGGGGGCTCAGCCGTGCCGGTGCGGGGGTCGCTGCCACCCCAGGGTGCCCAAGCGCCGGCAAGCAGCTCTTGCCCTCCCACCCGGTGGTACGGCACGGGCTCTCACCACTCTGTTGACCGACTTCTCCCAGGCGATGGACTTCTCCAGCTGGTAGATGCAGAGGGAGACCTGGGCTGCGCTGCGGCACCTCTCCAGCGTCTGCCGCCACGTCCGGACCCGGGGCGTGATCTCGTAGGCTCTGCGGTGGGGAGACGGTGCTCAGCCAGAGCCGCTCGCATCCCGGCGGCGCAGCCAGGGAGGGTGTGGGGCTCACATCTCGGTGGGGCCCAGGCTCAGCTCCTCGGGGCTGCTCAGCACGGCCTTCTCCACCACCACCTCGTGCAGGGGCCAGAGCGGCTCCTTCAGGTAGCGCCGCTCCACGTTCTGCTCCAGTGCTGCCAGCCGCAGCACCGCCAGGTCCAGGGGGTTGGTGCGCTCCCGGCACAGCGGCAGCCCGTCCCGCCGGCTCCGGACGGTGATGTCTTCCAGGGGCTCCACCTTGTGCTCGCAGTACTGCAGGTCATTCCGCGTGGAGTCGGGGCTGGGGCACGTCCAGCCCTGCGGGAGAGTCGGGCTCAGGGTGGGCACCCGGCTGAGGCTACGGCACTGCGGCACCCGGCCCGGCACCTACCCGTATCTGCAGGTCCGCCATCAGCACGCGCTGCTCCAGCTCCTCGACCCACTGCAGGACGGAGAGGTCGGTCTCGTAGGCTCTCTCCATCACTGACCACTGGGCCAGGGCTTCCCGAGACACGGTGGCGTTGGCCGCCTCGGGGCGCAGGTGGAAGATGGGGTCTGGGGGTGGAGGATGGGCTCAGCGGGGGGACAGGCAGCAGCCCCCCACCCCGGCCAGTGCGGGCAGCCCTTACCCGTGGTGGTGCGCAGGCAGACCTCCCGCAGGAACTCCTTGTGCTTGGTGAGGTGCTTGTGCAGCGCCTTCTCCCGGATGCCCCGTGGGTGCAGCGCACGAGCCACCGCCTCCAGCTCCTCGGGGTCCTGCAGCCACCACCAGCCGCTCTGCATCTCTGCAAGGCAGCACCACAATGCTCAGCACCCCGCCGGGGGCACCGGCACCCCCTGCCCCAGGGGTCCAAGGTCTGGACTGGGCTCTCACCAGGGGGAACAGGCTGCTCCGTCAGCTGGGTCAAGTATTTCTGTTCAATCTGCTTGAAGAATTTGGTAGGGGGCCGCCCTCGGCGCTTAGGCTGCCCCGGCAGGTCCTGGAGCTTCTCCAGGCTGCCCCGGCTCCTGGGGCAGGCGCCATGGGCCCTGGCGCCGGCGTGCACCGGCGTGGAAGCCAGCAGGGGAGCCATGGGGTCCTCTGCGGGGAGGCCGTTCAGCTGCTGGGGACAGAGCGCATCAGAAGGGCCAGGCACACACCTGCTCCTCGGCCCCGATCCCTCAAGCCCCCCGGCCCTGGGACTGTTTTGCTTCTCGTGGGCTCAGCCCAGATGATTGGGGGCAGCTGGACCGAGCTCCCAGCGTGCCACCACGAGGACAGCATCCCCCAGCTCCGGGGTGTCCGGTGCCCAGGCAGAGGGGCCCCACCCTGCTCCCCCCAGCCACCCAGGGAGGTTCCTCCCCACGCAGTCCCTGCAGGCTGGGGTGGAAATGCTGGGCACAGCCCCCCCGCCCCGGCCGGGCCCAAGCACATACCTGCCTGGCCGAGCCCTTGGGCGGCTCGCCACGGGGCTGGCCGCGGGGCTGCGCAGCGGCTCGCAGTGAGGGCTCGGTGGAGGAGGTAGCGAGGGGGGCTCGGTCGTCGCAGGGCGTCCGGGGCAGCAGGTTGAACCAGGGCTCCCGCTTTTGTGCAGCCTCTGGGGCACTCTCCTCCTCTTCCTCCTCCTCTTCCTCCTCTGCGGGGTCCGATGGGGCCTCGAGCGGCGGGAGCCCCGTGTCCCCCTTGCCGGGGCTGCTGTCCGGGGTAAGGACGGAGTCCTTGAGCAGGGACGACTGCGTCTGGCTCAGCCAGGAGAGGAAGGCGGACTGGCTGAGGTCGTGCTGGCTCTGCCCCAGGGGCACCGACTCCTCCAGGACCCCGTTGACAGGGGGGGGTCTGGGCCCGCAGTGCTGCGACAGCTCCTCTTTGCTCTTCCGGGGCCGGCCACGGGAGCGCGAGGCCGTGCAGTTTGTCCGGCTGGGAATGGGCACTTCCACCGGCTCCTCCTTTACTGGGGAGACGTGGGGGGATGCCTTCTCCTCCGGGGGCTCCTGGGGTGCCGGCTCAGCCACTGCAAGGGCAGGAGGAGGCGGTGAAACGCGGGGTCCTCTCCCATCCGGGAGATCCCCCCGCCAGGAGCCCCTTCCCAGCTCACCCTCCGCGCCCTCCACGAAGATGCCGCCCAGGTGGGGCAGGACCCAGTACCGCCGCCGGTACCGGTCCTGGCCCAGAGAAGCCGCCCGCAGCGTCTGCGAGGAATGGAGCAGCTTCTTGCGGAAGAACATCTGCCTCTGTGGGGAGAGCGCAGGGTGGTAACGGGCCCCACAGCCCTACAGCGGGGGACGAGCCCCCAGCCCTCCGCCGCCCACTCACCTTGGCCAGCTTCTCGATCTGCCTCTCGAGCTCAGGGACGCTGGATGCAGACGTGTCGGCCTGGGGAAGGGACGGGATCTGTCAGTGAAGCACAGGCAGGCGGGGAAGAGACCCCCAAGGGCAGCGTCCCCACCTCTACCCCCCTGCAAGCGGCAGACCCCACGGCCACCCCACCTCCTCCTCCCTGCGGGATTTCCGTCCGCGGCTCTCCTCCTCCTCCTCCATCTCCAGGCCCGTCTCCTCCGTCAGGCGGGAGCTGCGCCGGCGCCGCCCATCCTCCAGGCCCGTGATCTCCGACTCGGGACGGCCCGTCTTCTTAGCCAGGGCGACCTTCAACCTGTCGAGACACAGCAGAGGCATCTGCTGCCTGCCCCGCTGCCTGCCCCCACGCACACCCTGCTCCCCAGCAGGCCGAGGCACGCAGTTACACCGCAGCACCGGAAAAGTCACCCTGAGACCCCCCCGGCCCCGGGAGCGGAGGGGAAGGTGCCGAGGCCACAGGCGGGAGCCAGCCATGTCCAGCAGGGCAGCCCCCTCCCAGCTGGCAGGCACGCGGCGCTGCCTGCCAAGTGGCTGCAGGCAGCGGGGGCCGCGGGGGGGCCCCCCCCCCCCCGCGCGCCCCGCCCCCCCGG